CTTTTTTCTATACGAAAGCCATTTTAAAAGCCAAAGAAAGTTGAAGTTCACAACATAAAGTTCACGTGACTGTTGCACAGTCAAATACACAGAAGTTTTGTGAGCAGAAACATGCTTTTGGCTGCAATATTGACAGCAGGTGAAACCCTTCATTGTAAACATACCTAGCAAAGCTAGGTGGTAAGACAGGAAAAGAAGTCTGTTTCTAGGTTCTGTTTTCTCTCAGTCTTGAGCCAAATTATTCCTCTGAGGGCTGGGGCAGAGGGACTTTCTGTCCAGCTAGGGATGGTGGGAGCCCTTGTTGGCAAGAGTAAGTATGTGGAAGGAGACAAAGAGAGGATGACTAACAAGGAGGATTTCAGGGAACCAGTAAAATTTTTCATCTCTCTTTGTGCCACCATGGCATCTGAAGTAGATTTCACAGTTTTGAGTTTTGCATAATTTCAAATGATATTAAAATTTTTAAACATTTAGAATTCACAACAGGAATAAATTACTAAAGTAACAGTACAAAGGTAGCTTTAGCGATTAACAGAATAAGAAGCAAAGCATGAAAACCATACATCTGCTGTAAAAGAGCTTTCTTCAATGTATTTCTGAAGATTAACAATATTATTTTAATATATTCTCTGCTCGTAACATCATAACTTCAAAGGTATTTATTGCTAAACAGTTTATTGTTCGAATTGAAGGGACTTCAATTCAAGCAGGTTAAGGGAGGTGATTCTGCCCCTCTACTCTGCTCGCATGAGACCCCACCTGGAATACCGTGTTCAGCTCTGGGGCCCCCAACACAAGAGCAGCATGGAAATGTTGGAGCGAGTCCAGAGGAGGGCCATGAAGATGATCTGAGGGCTGGAACACCTCTCCTATGAAGACAGGCTGAGACAGTTGGGGTTCTTCAGCCTTGAGAAGAGAAGGCTCCAGGGAGACCTTCTAGCAGTCTTACAGTACCTAAAGGAGGCCTACAAGAAAGCTGGAGAGGGACTTTTTACAAGGGTGTGTAGTGATAGGGCAAGGGGTAATGGCTTTAAACTGAAAGAGGGCAGATTTAGATTAGATCTAAGGAAGAAATTATTTCCTCTGAGAAAGTGAGGCAGTGAACCAGGTTGCTCAGAGAAGTTGTGGATGCCCCACCCCTGGGAGTGTTCAAGGCCAGGTTGGATGAGGCTTTGAGCAACCTGCTTTAGTGGAAGGTGTCCCTGCCCATTGACAGGGGGGTTGGAACTAGGCGATCTTTAAGGTCCCTTCCAATCCAAACCATTCTGATTCTATAACTCGTTTCTTTCTTTGTTAGGTTAACATGGCATCCCAGGTTCCTTGGTATGAAAATCTTGCGCAGATGAAAATGCCCTGGACCTGGAAAGCGGATTCCCATTCTCATGTGACAATAATCCAGAATCTGAATTTAAAAGTTCACAGTGGTCAGATGCTAGCTATTGTAGGAAGTACTGGTAAGAGCAACCAAATGTTGTCATTTGACCAACTCTCAGATAAAATGTACACAGCCAAGAGGAATACTCTGCAGTCTTTTGAATGCCAAAATCTAGTTCAGAAACAACTATTGGAAATGTTTCACTTAAATACATTCTTTAAAATGCATGAGGAAACAAGAATGATACCTGGGGACAAAAAAAATAACATTTATTTTAGAAAGCAATTTTTTTGGTGACTTTTACACATTTGCTGTTTGTTTCCCGAGATGTGCTGGGGTATTGTTGTTACTGCGGCCTGCAGTCTCAGTCCTGCTGGGCATCAAACAGCTTCATGGCTCAGATTCAAAACAGGCAAACTGCAGACCTTTCAGACAAACGAGGCCAGGCCCTGTAAGAAAGATCAGTGGCAAGTTGCATAGCCATAAGCAGGAATTCTCTTCGGATTGAAACAATTCTAACAGGATAACATATCACGTTTGGATTAATTAAGAGAAACTTATGGAGAAGAAAAGACAGTTCCTCTTCTGTTTGGCTTTAAAATGAGTCCCTGCTTTCTTACAGCTGTTTTTGGTGGTGGTGGTGGTGTTTCCGCCCAATTTCTGGTGGCACTGGTTTAATCTTCCCCAGGGTGAGGCCGACTAATGGAAAAATGGCCTTTACCCTATGTGGTTAGTTGAGCCTAAGCTCATCTAGGGTGATAGGAAGTAGACACGTGATCTGTTAATGTGGAGTTAAAAGTACTCATATTTTGGAGGTAAAAACCCTCATGCTTTGTCTCCACTAGACTCTTACATCAGGTTAACTCAGTGATTCAATGAAGATACTCTCTCTCAAAGGCAAGGCATATTTGCCAAAAAAGTTTTAACTTTATTTCTACAAAAGAGGTTTTTCTTCCCCATTGCCACAGGAATTTTTTTCTTAGCACATATCCTTAATGTAATTGAAGTTTTACCTTAGAGATTCTCCCGATAATAAAAGGAAAAGCTTGTGATGAAATAACATATTGAGTTACAGATATAGTACCTTTGTAAGGTAACATACACTAAGCACAAACCTCTTTCAGCAAACTAGTCAAACTATTTTTAAAAGCTGTTTATCATCTATTTCATCAAATGCCTTAGTAAAATGGATTAAACTGCTGATGGGTTTCACATTGTCAATGGCAATCAATATGTCACTCTTAAATAGAGCAATACATGGTTTACAGATGGATGGGTTTCTTTTTTAAAATGTATATATAAAGAAACAAGTGTGGAGTTAATCTTTCAACGGGGATACTAGAAATAAATGACATCTAATCATAATAAGAGAGCTCTGTGTGTTTACATACAGTATCATACAGCAAAAGGAAAAACTAATTTGCTATTTAATTCCAAATCAGGTGTTGTTTTCATTGTTTTACTTTTCTTACCACCATGAGCCAGCTTTTCTTAATTATTCAAATGGCTTTTTGTCTTATTTGAAGTCATAAGAATTTTTATTTCAATCATGATTAAGATTCTTATTGTCTGCATAATCATTCAGCGCCTTACTCATTCAGCTGCTCCAGCTGCCATTTCCGAATCCACAATTCCCTTCACAAAGCAAGCTCTTGCCATGCATTTAGGCACCAGTCCCACAGCCAGCATGGATCACCATCGTTCACCTATATTTCAAAAGTGAAGCAGAGGTAAGAAGAGCACAAAGAGATCATGCTTCTTGAGTTCATGGTGCTACCCTCAATGCCCAATTCTACTCAATTCTGCTGAGAAAGGATCAAGGTTAAAACCACGTACTGCATTCCAAAGGAGAGAGATTGCCTCAACGTGAGCTTGTAGTTGGTATTTTCTTTCAAGACCATTATGTCTCTGTGGCTTTGGAAAAGCTTCATGAAGGTTTGGGGAAAAGATGTTAAGGAGTGAAAACTTGTATCTTCTATGACTAAATCAAAGTGATCCCTTGGAAATTAATTTAATTTTCAATTTTGGTTTTTCTAGCTGGTGGAAAGACATCCTTGCTTGATGTGATAACCTGCCGGGATCATGGAGGCAAAATCACGTCCGGTCAAATCACGATCAATAACAAACCCAGCACTCCCCAGCTTGTTAAGAAATGCATAGCACACGTGCGGCAGGATGACCGACTGCTCCCCCACCTGACTGTCAGAGAAACGCTATTGTTCGTTGCCAGACTGCGCCTTCCAAAGTTTTTTTCAGACTCACAAAGGCAAAAAAGGGTAATTAAGCTGTTGGTAAAAAATAAAGTTGTCAAAAAATGTGTCTGACAGGAATTATCCAAGAGATCCTGTGTGTTTGGAGTCAGAACAGCTAATCTGGCATTTTTTTTTTAATATAGATTATGAATTATAAACCTTTTTCTTCTTTCAAGATAGAAACCAGCAATTGTTCTAAAGCTCATAAAAAAATTACAATCTAGAGAAAGCATTAGAGGCTGAAAGAAGAATTAAATTGCTGATTGCTGAGCCCTTTTAATATTATGTCTGAAATCAAGATTTGTTTTCAAGTGTCTCTTGATCAGATAGCACTGAAACATACAGGTGAATTTTAACCACACTAATCATATTTTCAGCTTTAGCTACGCACAAACGTGCAAATGAACTCTTGCTTTGTCTCTGTTACCCTTTGGATCCCCCCAGGTAGAAGATGTTATAGCGGAATTACGCTTGCGTCAGTGCGCAAACACCAGGGTAGGGAACGAGTACCTCCGTGGTGTTTCGGGAGGTGAGAGGCGGAGAGTGAGCATCGGTGTGCAGCTGCTCTGGAACCCAGGTGAGCAAAACCCTGACACTTTCCTTGTGCGCACGACAGAGCACTGGGGGAAATGGGGCAGTAAATGAAGATAGGAGCTTTCAGGGAAAAGTGGTACACAGTTACCCCTGGGGCAGCTTGAGGAGTTCATACTTGGGACACTTAACAGGTCTTGCGTCACCTTCTGCCAGAGATTGCCTCTCCATAGCAAAGTCAGACACAGTGACTGGGTGCTGGTCCATGCCCTTAAATTGAAGTCAGTGCTGATTACAGATAATACCGAAATTATTGCAGTAATAATTCTGTAAATGGAGTGTTTGGAGAGGGACTTTTTGCAAGGTCGTGTAGTGATAGGACAAGGGGTAACAGTGTTAAACTGAAAGAGGGTAGATTTAGATTAGATCTAAGGAAGAAATCTTTTGCAATGAGGGTGGGTGAAACACTGGAACAGGTTGTCCAGAGGAGTTGTGGATGCCTCGCCCCTGGAAGTGTTCAAGGCCAGGTTGGATGACGCTTTGAGCAACCTGACCTAGCGGAAGGTGTCCTTGCCCATGGCAGAGGGGTTGGAACTAGATTATCTTTGAGGTCTCTTCCAACCCTAACCATTCCATGATTAGATATAAAGAAGAAATTTTTTACAATGGGGGTGGTGAGGCACTGGAACAGGTTGCCCAGAGGAGTTGTGGATGACTCATCCCTGGAAGTGTTCAAGGCCAGATTGGATGACGCTTTGAGTAACCTGATGTATCAGAAGGTGTCTCTGCCCATAGCAAAGGAGTTGGAACTAGATGATCTTTAAGGTCCCTTCCAATCCAAACCGTTCTATGATTCTATTTTGGCAGCCATTGGTTTGTGCTTATCAGTATGAGGTTTGTTTATCTGACCACATGCCACAAGTTACTTTGGAAGCCTATTACAACATCAAGATTGTTTTCCTTTCCTCCAACTAGCTCATTTACAAGTGCAGAGTTAACAAGGAAGGTCATTTTCTTGGCTGTATAGTCAGTCATTGTGGTCTTGGGCAACTCAGTCGCGTGGCTGGCTCATGCCACAGGTGACACAGAAATTTCCATCGTCTTCAGTAGAAGCAAAACATGAGGCTAAATCTGCAGTTGATTTTGCAGGATTGAATGCCCTGTCTGCTCTTATAAATATCAACAGCACTACTAATCTTGGCTGAGTCTCTTGTTGAGCAAGATTTCCCACCAGCTCTTCCACTGGGAAAGGGATCTGAGAATTTTTTGCTTGTATAAAGTTATATTTTTGTAATTATGGGGAAAGCAGAGGTGTTTTTTTTATAAGAAGTGATGCTTAGGAATAGATGTGCTGGTACTGAAGTAAAAAAAAAAAATAATTAGTTCTAGGAAAAATAAGCGAAGTTTTCTTTACGTTTCAAATGGATGATATCCCTCAGCACAGAAACCACATCTGTGTACAGATGTTGCCTTTAGTTGATTGAGGGCATTAAGGTCTATAATAACACAAACACTGCAAAGTAACAAAACACTTTCAAGTTTGTAACAACCAATGACAAACCAACCAACCAAACAATCCAAACATATGAATATCTCTTCATATGTATGTGTGAACAGGGGCAAAATAGAGCGCAGGTTGGGAAGAGGAGGAGCTAAATGAATACTGTGTGAGTATTTACACATGAATAATGCAAGAAGTTTAAGTATCAAGCATTTAGGTTAAAATATTTCAGTAGGTAGGATACAAAACTAGTACTACTGTGTTAATTAATATTCTTGTACCTGATATTCATACAGACAGTGCAGAACTGCAGAGAAGAATGTAAATTTAGTAAGGAAACTGAATCTGCATCCCTATAAAAATTACAAAAATCTCTTGTTTCCAGTGGGAGCAAGAAAAGCTTTAAAATAATTACTCTTGGTCATCGTGTTCAGTAAGATAGGGGAAGAAATTGCCATTGTTGAATATTATGTGACGCTGGCATGAAATACACTTTGGACTTTAAAAAAAAAAGGAATATATCCATGATATTTCATGCACTAGCGTCGTTTCACTTAGAACATATTTTCCAAATCAAACACGCTGCTTTCTACAGCTAAACTTATTGTCTTTGGCAGGAATACTCATACTTGATGAACCAACATCTGGACTGGACAGTTTTACTGCACATAACCTTGTGATAACGTTATCCAGACTGGCCAGAGGAAACAGATTAGTTCTTCTTTCACTTCATCAGCCCCGGTCAGATATCTTCCAACTGTTTGATTTAGTTCTCTTGATGACTTCTGGAGTCACTGTCTATTCTGGAACAGCTAGAGACATGGTCCAGTATTTCACTGAACTAGGCTATCCCTGCCCAAGGTACAGCAATCCTGCAGATTTCTACGGTTAGTATCAAGCACTGCCATGAAAAAAGGTTACTGGAAATCACTCACTTCCATAAGTGTATCAGCTAACATTGATTTTTATTGACCATAACTGTCTCAGAAATGCCTTATAACTGACTCAGATCAATACTGCAGCACATTCAGTTTTTAATAAGAACCTATTTGTCAGTATGGACAACATCAATTTTAAATAATCCTCCTTCTAACCCTGCCAGGTGTAGCAACTCTTCCACATGTTTAGCGCGCTTATTCCTGTGTTTTAGCTGGTTGAAACTCTTGCCCTCACTGAGAAAGACATGGATGAACTGATCAACTGCATTCTGTAGCTACTTCTCTGACTCAAGAGGAGTGCTGCCAAACAGAGCGTACTGGATGAGAGAAAAAACAAATCCAGGACACCAATCCTTTTATTCCTCTTTGCAAAGAAAGTTAACTACATCATTCCAAATCCATCCCTCTTCTGTTTTTTGCAACATGCAAAGGGAATCTGGCTCCGTTAGTCTAATGGCAGTAGTCTCTTACCACTGAGGCTGGTTCAGTTTCAGCCCTTAGGTCTTTGCACTCAAGTTGGATAGGAGACCTGTACAGACACCAACTGCAATGCTGTGGAGTAACCTTTTTGGCTGTGCCTGGCAGGTGGCGTGAGCTGGTGTCAGCCGTGCAGAGATAAACAGAAGTTAACCTCAATGTCAAGCCCTGCAGAAAGACCTTTGTTGCCACCATGGTTCAGAGCAGTTCTTCGCAGCCAAGCACAGCCGTGAGGAAGGCTTCCAAGCACCCCCACGTGGGAACAGAGAATTTGAGACAGTCCTGGGGAAACCCGTAGCTAGAGCCTGTGGTTGCAGAGATAAACCCCTACTACAAGGAAGGTGGGAAGGGATGAGAAACAGAGGTGGAAGATCATTTAGTGATATACACAGAGCTAGAACCCATAGAAAATGCAGAGAAACATGGGCAGCAGGAAGGTGGAAATGGGGCAGGATAGTAGAGGATGCCACAGCATGAAGGAACGCCTGACAAACACACAAATGCTGGCTTTGTGTCAGATAGAGAACAGGAGACCATGGGAGAAGGTAAGAGGTAGGGCAGATTGCAACTCATTTCTGATGGACTCCTGCTGGAGAGGCTGAACGGAGACAATCAGCCCAATGTAAGGAGCTACAAAACGTGCAGTGCTAGTTCTCTCACAAAGCATCTGCGAAATGTCAGATATTTTCACTCTACACTGAAGGTCAGCACTGGGAAATAACTACTGTAAGTTGCTGCTACTATGTCATCCTTGGGTAATATTCTTGGACTTTCTCAGTATCAGGTAAAGTTTATGGCACATCTGTAAGAGAGAAAAAAGATAACTATCATTCTGCAGATGGAGAAAAAAACATGATTTAAGTCAAAGTTACATAACAGATTGTAAATGCCTACACCCCAGGAAGGAAATTCAAACTGTTTATTCTCAGCCTCTATTAAATTTAGAAAAACCTGAAATAGTAGTTTACAGTATTATAATAATCAATTATGAAATCTCTCAATGATTCATTGAATGACTAGATAAGAAACATCTCCCAAGACAAAATACACATTAACAATCTGTTCTTCTCAAATTACCTAAAATAACTGATAAAGTTTTACCCATTGTAGCTTAATGCAGGCACACAGGTCGTACTGTCTGTTCACCATGAAATCTCTGATTCTAAACATATCACGAAGTTATATCACATCTATAGCATGTGTACTCTTGTCAAATAATGTCTTGCAGTTGATTTGACCAGTATTGATAAACAGACTGAAGAAAAGAAGACGGAAAGCCAAAAAAGAGCAAATACTCTTGCCAAATTGTTCCTAGAAAAAGTGAGAGATTTTGATGATTTCTTATGGAAAGTTACTGAAGGAGACAGCGTTGCAACTGCATTCAGCAACCAAAGGTAAAGAAGAGTGTCATACAGCACATCTGAAATAACAGCTACCGCCTGTGATAATTTCAATTTCTTTTCCTCTTTTCTTTTGGGTAGGTCCCATTTAGATTCAGAAGAGACTATCAACATGCCTGACCATTCAAGTGATCAGTTACCAGCAGCCTTAAAGCAGTTCACTATATTATTACGGTAACCTTATCTCCAGCTTAAACAGTTATGTACGATGCCCATTTGTATTTTAAAGCTTAAGAAGCACAAAATGAGAACTGCATGCGTGCCAAAAGTGCACAGCTAGGGCTAGGCCTGAGCAAGCCATAGAGCAGAGGTGTTGCTGTACCAACTCACCCTGATCCCCTGCACAGGACAGCAGCCAGATGTACAGCCCCAGCTTTCTGCTCCAGGACTCCTTCCAGACAGAGTCAGCTCCAGCTCTCATTGCTGGGAGTCTGCAATTTTAAGCGGCAGCAGGAACCTCGAGGCTCAGGAACGTTAGTCCCGGTTTTGAGTACTGCCATCCTGATACCCATGCCTAAGCATGGTGACTCAGTCCTCAGCAGGCCCAGGAAGTTGCATGGTAGGCTTAGGCATCACCATCCTCACACTTCTGCCTCAGATTTGAAGCCAGGAGGCTTCACTGATTACAGCCAGCATAGATGGGAATTGTAGCTGTGTCTCACGTGTGTGTACTCAAAAGAAACACAATCAACTGGTTTGATACATGTAGACATCACTACCAGTGTCTCCTGCTGTTAGCATACCCTACAGGTCCTTAACAGAGAGACTTCTATAACTCAGATAATTGCTTCTGTGTCTCTGAAATTCGACCTTCCTGCCCCCATTGCCTGCCTTCAAGCTTTCAGCTTTTCAGACCTGAAATACTAGGCAGCTAGAGACACTCAATAGCTTTGATTAGGTAAAATCCTTTACAGAACCAGACAGTCTAACTTCCATCCTACTCAAAACCATCAAGTTCCACAGACTGATGTTAGTAGAGCATTTGGGCAATATATCTGACAATAACTGGCATTAGTATGTGCAATACCTTATGGTCAATGTTGCTGTTTTCCTAGTCGTCAAGTCTCCAATGACTTCAGAGATATTTCAACGTTACTAATCCGCGGATTTGAGGCCCTCTTCATGTCATTTTTAATTGGATTTTTGTACTACAGCCATGAGAAAACCAGACTCTCTGTTCGTGACACGACAGCACTGCTGTTCATGATAGGTGCCCTAGTCCCGTTCGCAGTGATTTTGGATGTTATTGCCAAGTGTAAGTGTCAGTTTTCTTGTAAATATTATAAGCAATCAAAACCAGAAAATTCCTAAATCAATAAAAAAATTATACTCCTTAATGCAGCCTTAGGATGAAACCAACCTGTTTGTTTCTACCCTGCAGGTCATTCGGAAAGAGCTATGCTTTATCATGACTTGGAAGATGGAATGTACTCTGTTAGCTCATATTTCTTTGCTAAGGTAATTGGTTTTGTTGCCAGGAAATGCACACAACTGGCTTTAACATTAAAAACCACAAACAAACCAAAGCCTTGTTGTATAAACGATCACATTCATAACAGACTGTTCTTTTGTGTCTGCCAGCTAAGGCTATCATTCTTGCTTCCTTGGAATTAATGGACTAAACTTCACACTACTTCAGATATGTTGCCATAAGTCACAGCTGAGATCTCACCCCAGAAAAGCTAAAGAAGAATTTTTCACTGGGTTGTTTGGCCAAAATTTGAGAATTCCCAAACTCAAATTTGGGGGTTTAGATAGTTTTACATACCTGCATATTTCATTAGCTGAAGCATCTTCGAAAGTCTGATTACACGTCTTGATCTGTAAAACAAAATATTCATATTAAATGCTAAAGCAAAGGTAAACCAGAAATGACAAAATGCTAATTGTGATATTTTCAGTAGTTGTTTGGGCCTGTACTGGTCAGAGACAAACAATTGTATTAAGTGCATAAAGAGTCAGAGTTTCTGGAAATAAATAAGAACTTTAAAAAATTATATTCTCTTTTTCAAAAGGGTTTAGAATAATCCCTTCTTTGTGATGTTGCCACTGTTAGATGAGTTCTGCCTGCCATGGCATCTGTAATTTAGGTTTCCATTTCTGCACAAGATTTTAAATGCTTATTAGTGGTTGCCAGAGAAAAATATTCTCTGCATTGTGTCACAAAGATTGCACATTATTCATAGAGAAATCGATGTAATTTGTTACAACCTTAGTATTAGAGGATAGTAGCAACCCACTTTGGAAGAAATAATCATAATACTCTCTATACATATCTTTAGATATTTGAGAAAATCCTAAGCATGTTTTTGTTTTACAGTGAGTTAAGTAGTTAATAACTGGACTGCCTTTGGGACAAAGTGGAGAAGTGACCAACAGCCAAATTTGTCTCAATTTGTTCTCACGCTAGGTTCAACGACATTTGGACAAAACAGAGAGATGTGATGAGTCAGTAACAGTATCGCTGTTACCAAGTGCACCAGTTCTCAGGGACCAAGTGCCTTAAATTCTTAGAAGCTGCCAAAACTGTAACAAACCAAGACATCTAATCTGTAACAAGAATACTCTCATTTTAACAATTAGTTATAAGAATTGTCGCAACTGGAGAAAAAATTAGTGAGGATTTCAATTTCTGTTGTGGATTGGTTTTGCATGTCACTGACAACACCTAACAGGGAGGTGACTACCTTCTAAAGGAGTATTTCCTGCAGTTTTTATAAACAGTCTGTAAGTACATTGAAGTACATTTCACAAGGTTTTGTGATTATCATTCAACTTACTTTCTCTCTTTTTTTTTTTTTCCCCCCCAAACGGGTTTTGGGGGGCCCCCCAGGGCACTCGGCTTTTTT